ACGTTTTAACAGGGTCTCTTCTCGTTAAGCCTCAAATGTGTTGAGAGTTACCCCTTCCCATAAGAAAGATCTATTTCCTACAACATATCCTAAATAAAATGATATTTGGGCAATACCTAGACAACCATATATCTCGGTTCGCATTCCTATTCGATAATTCCAGAGTAAAGGTTTGAATCGAATGTAACGGGCTGTGATTGGTTGGCTCAGTTTGTTGGACACAACTGACCAGAAGGCTCGATTTCCACCAAGCACCTGTGAAATAAAGTATGATGTTACCTAAGAGACCTCAATCGACTTTTGCATTTCTTAGGACTATTGATAACATAAAGACTTAACTCTTACTGGGTTCCCTACTAGTAGAAGAAAAATAGAAAGAACACAAGAAAAGTGCTCTCTTTCCTACTAAAGCGAAGCATGCAGGCACCCATTACTGCCGTGACGACTGCGTAAGTGACTACGAAAATTAAAAGGTTTCTTCCTGGCATGACGCCAGAGGTAATAACATAGTTATAAACTTCTCTCAGGAAACCCAGCTCAGACTGCAACAATAACATGAGGATCCAAATACGTTTTGTAAAGTGAGATATGAACGTTTCAAATTTGATTTGATGTTACTTTCTGTGTATACCTTAGGAAGAGTTTCTCCAGGTTCCTTGTAAAAATGAAAGGTTACTCCATCATCGCTGTATTGTAGATGGTAACTGGCTGTCCAGCTTTTCTGCCAGCCTTGTAAGTTCACTCCTTGAGTTGCAACAGCTGTCACAGTTGAGTAAGTTCCAAGATCGACCTGAAGCCATTGTTTAGGATCAACTGCCCCAGCCACCCATCCGCCCAACTTCAACCGTGCAGATTTCGCAGGACTGTTATTATTCCATTGGGTGGAGGCTGTGATTTGGGCGTCGGTGATAACCTGACTTTCCATGCCAAGTGGTGAACAACAACCTGAATGGGTTTAATTGGAAAAGAAACAAAAAAGTGCTTGACTGTCACTTTCAAAACGAGAACGCTTGACTAAAATCTTCAGTATCGATGGAGATAAGTCGGGCTTAAGTTTTAGAGGCATTTCTTGCATCATCAAAGATCACACGTTAGTGCTAAAAATTATGAAGAATCAGCACTCTAAACTCCTTCAAAAACTTGCATTCCCCTTTGCAAAAGATGTATATTTTAAGCGAGATTAAAATGAGATACTAAGGTTCTCTTCTCTCATTTTGAGATGAGAATAATTTGGAAGAAACTTGAAAGGAGGTTTAACGTGAATTCGGACATTTTTGCTCTAAGGAGGTTTTCTCTTCTTGATCAGTTTTGCAAAAAAATTCCTCTAAGTGCGTTTTTTTCTCTTTCCCTGCCTCTTTCCTTTATTCGCTGTTTGTTTGCATAGTAAATTTCCCTCTCTAGGTCCGAAAGTGTTCCACACCTATCTTATTGTCTCCCAAAAGCTCTTTCTTTTACAATTTTAAGCGCAATTTTTTTCTAACTAAAAGACCATAATTTCATAAAATACCTCGACACCCATAAAGCTCCATTCTGAGTGATATATGGTTGTGCCACGTGGCTGGCCATAACCTGATGTAACGAGCTGTGATTGGTGAAATCAACTTGTTGTATACAACTGTATTACTGTCTTGATTGGCGTGGAGTAGCTAATAGTTAAAACCAAAACTAACTGCGGTCAAACAGATACCTCACCCCCTCACAACGGTGAATATACACAAACTCTGAAAAGACTGATAAATTAAAACGAGTGAGAGTTAGTCCTATGCATACATCGTAATTGTGGAGGTTTATCAGATTACCACGAGAGCTCAAAGACTCGTCATGCTGCCACCAACTTTTTGCCAAACAAAAATGGAGGTAATCTTCAAAAACGAGTTTATCTTTTCGCATCTTTAGATTTTAAAGAAGTCATCCAATTCCGCCCCAGACACAATAGTGTTAACACATGTTGACGTTTACTTTGTGTTAATTTATCGATGCAATGCTAGAAAAGTCAAAAGACGTTAAATTAGTGGGTCATTGTACATGTGACGGAGTTCCAAGGGAATATTTTCTCCTTTATGACCTCTCGGAAAGAGAGTTGTAAGGGAAATTCATTCAGAGAAGGTTTCAGACAGAATAAATTTGTTAAATGATAATCCAAAGAGATGTTACCTTCGCTGACATTTTCCCAGGCTCTTTGTATAACTGGAAGATCACTCCGTCAAAACTAAACTGTAATGTGAAAGTTGTTATCCACTGTTGCAATTTTGTTGAATTCCTCCCCTGAGTCGCCACACCTGTCACCGTGGTGTAACTGCCAAGATCCACCTGAAGCCATTGGTTACGATCCTTTACAAGGGACGACCATCCCCCTTGCTTGCTGCCCTGTTCAATGAAGTTCAGTCTCGCCTGCCTTGGTGTGCTGTTGTTATTCATTCGCGAAGAAGCAGTAATTTGGGCATCAGAAATCACGCCACTCTCCATTCCAAGGTCTGCTACCAATTTAACAATCAGAAGAGGTCAAGCAGCATGTACATCTGATTTTTAGCATCAAATTCTGATCAACAACCCTGTCTTTGAAAGCAAAATGACATTTACGACCCTTTCATTGACAAAGTCTTAGCGGAGCCACATAATTCTTCACAAATTTTAGGTAGCTTTGATCTCTACTTCACTTTTAACATTATAGGACAGGTCTTGATTAGATTAACTCATCGATACTAGAGGTTATTGCTTGATTGAGTTTCGTAAAGTTCTCGTATCAATATGTTTTGGAAGATAAATCTCCAACTTTCAAATTGTGCACAGTAATTTTTGTAATACTGTCAATCAACAGACTCTTACCAGAACACTTAACTGCACTATAAGAAGCTTGGAATCCATAGAAAGAACCATTCTTATCTGATTTGAATATTACAGAAAGGCTGTTTGACGAGGAATAAATTCCATTCCTGGGTGGAGGTTGACCACCATAGAACACTCCTAACACCACCCTTGTTTGGCTATCGTACACATAAACAGCATCCGTGTTGTTTTCAGATTGTAGACTGAAGCTCGTGATCATCAAAGCCACTTGAAAAGATGCTTTCACTATGATCTTCCACTTGCAGTATTGCTCATCTGGGTATCTCTCTGGATAGCGTGGTGAGTAAATAATGCCTTTTTGTCCTTGTAAAGTTTGGTTTTGACATTTATAGCCTCCTGCAAGTTAGACAAAGTTATTTTGCCTATGATTAACATGAGGGGCACAAAAAGATTGTCACAAGTTTCCTCAACTGCGTGTGGTTTTGTCCATTCTAGCAGCTAATGAAAATTGTTCTGTCTCATCTTTTTGCTCCTTTCTCAATCAATACTCACCCAGTTTGAGTAAGAGAGCTGATTTTAACTAACACGCTTTTTTTTAATCCCATTCGATCAAGTAAGAAACTCAAAGATCATACTCGTTTCCCTGTACATAGTGAAAAGTAAAGTAAAGTCTGTTTACAAGCTTAGTGGCCCATTAGGCCGGTGCTTAACTCCGGTTTCTGTAGCATGAAGCGACTAGGAGTATTTCTACTCCCCCCTGGATGGGATGCCAGTCCATTGCAGTGTTACCCCCAACATTAAATTGCCGGTACCCATTTATACACCTGGGTGGAGAGAGGCACTGTGAGAGTAAAGTGTTTTGCCTAAGAACGCAACACAATGTCCCGGCCGTGGCTCGAACCCGGACCACTTGATCCGGAGTCGAGCGCACTAACCATGAGGCCACCGCGCCTCCACGAAATATGTACATGGGTATCTTGTAATAACATAGAATGACGAAGATATCTCAAAGATTTACTTGATACATTATAAGTGCAATGGACTATACTGAGTTGACATACTTGATGAGAGGGGAATCTTCGGAGTTATTTCACTGGGCCCACGATATCTCGGTTTCCACTGTTGTATCTTCTGTTGCTTTATCCAGGCTGGTTGTACTGTGCCCGCGTATCCAGCAAAGGCAAAGGAGGACCGCATGCTTCCTAAGACAGGATCGGGAGCCCCCAGTCTCTTAAGAGCGCTGACCGCTGATGAAGCATATCTCGAACCTTCGTCTTGAACGCCGACCAAAACGATTTTGCTTAAACGAGGAAAAAAGGTTTGAAAAGGAAAGGAAAAACAGCAACAAAAGATAGTAGTTAAAGGTTTGAAAGGTGGGACAAAAAGGTCAGCTGTTTGTTTCGACGTTATCTTCGTTCAGTTACTGAAGAGACACGGCAACATGGAATCTGTTTGTTACATAGTGGAGCATCATTTTAAAGGTATGATTGGGTCAAGCTGAGTGAAAGAACTGTAAGGTGAAAAACTAGAGATAAAATTACATACTTTCCTTTAATGCTGTTGAGGTAGTCCCTCAGGTTATTACCGGCAGAACTATCCCCATAGGTGTCGAATACTTTTGAATCAAGAATAACACCTGAATAGAGAGAAAAAAAATTATAGAAACCCATGCTTAGTTTGAGAACCGGCAATTGTACCCAAATCAAATCAAGAAAGTGCTTGGACAAAAATCGGACTCAGCCTGTTAGAGACTCAATCAAGCCAAGGACGTAAAGCGAAGATTCAATTATAACTGATCGAGGGAACGCATATTGTCTCAGAAGTCTCTTCGTGGATCTTTCGACAATATTCACACTTTGGCCTATAATTCCAACAAGAAATAATGAGAGTTCCTGATAAGCTCCCAAAGCTATTCAGATCGCGCGTGAATCAAGAGTAACATATAGTTAACATTTTTCAGGAGCTCTTTGCTTGTTATTCTTATAGAGCATTCACTATCAAAAAAATTAAGATTTAGAAGTTAAATGATCACAAGGGTTCACATACCTGTTGCACCATCCACAACAACAATGTTATGCCCTCTGCCATGACGAGAGTAATCCTTGCCGTTCACCTTGATATAAGCAATTCCACATGTGTTTGGTGTCTTTCCTCTATCATCACAACCTTCGCTTCTAATGTAAACTTCTATAGTGGGAGCTGCAACAGAAGCTACAACAAGACCGAACAGTCAGTTTAGTCACAACGGTGTTAGAATTACATATGATAATTTATGATGTTCATGAATTATCTATGACACGTGATCTACCGTTTATGTATTAGCTCTGTTCGGTGCTATCCCCGTTTTGGTTCATGTTCGTTTATTTCGCACTTTGTAACTTACCTAAGAATAAATCAAGTCTTTTAACAGGTTATGGGCCCAGGACGTTAAACCAATTTTGTAAGTTACGTGATTGTTATTTTGCCAAAGCGTAACGCAGAGATGTCGTTGTCAGAGATCACAAAGATCGAAAAATTGAACGGGAGAAATTACCAGTCATGGAAGTACAGCGTGAAGCTCGTTTTAATGGAGCGTGGTTTGTGGGGTTTCACTCAAGAAGGCCAAGAAACTCCTCCTGCAGCTGATGCGTCTGGAGCTCTAAAGAATACTTTTCGCCTTCGATCTGACAAAGCTTACTCGCTTATAGCGTTGAACGTGGAGAAAGATTTGCAAATTCACATACCGTCGATAACAGACCCACTCGCCGCATGGAAAACTTTGCAGAAACAATTTGAATTTGTGTCAGTCACTCAGATTGTTCGTCTTAATCGCAAGTTTTACGCAGCAAGTATGAAAGAAGGTGCAATCTTAGTATTTTTAGCTCAATTAGCATTTTAACTTTAATTAATATATGGATTTAGTCATTTTTAATTTATTTTGTAGTGTCCCCATTTAGTGGTTATGTACTGCTATTTTAGTCTGACACTTAAATAAAGGTATTCATTCATTCATTCATTCATTCATTTGACTCACATGACTTCCCTAGCGGAACAATTGCGAGAATTGAAAGAAGAAATTCCGTCGAGGAAATTTGCCACAGTCGTGTTAGGCAGTTTACCCGACTCGTATGATAATTTCCTGACAAGTTTAAACGCCCGAAGTGCCGATGATCTCGACTGGGAAAACATAAAAGGATTGTCGATTGAAGAATACATGAAGCGTTCTGAGAAAAACGAGAAACAAGAGTCTCATAATGCACTTTTTGTCAGCAGACGAAAATCGTCGTACCGCGGAAGTTTTCAACCACGTGGGGGAGCTGGTCGCGGTCGCGATGGCCGATTCCAGAGTTTTAACTTCAGTCTTCAATCAAGCCATGATGATCGTAATAAACAGAAAGATGTTAAGTGCTTCAAGTGCAACCAGGATGGACATATCGTAAAGAACTGTCCGTAAAACAACAAACAGAACACTGGTAAAAGAGAAAGTTCCAGTATGGCCGAACTCGAAGGAGTTGCGCTAATCTCAAGCACGATGAATCAGTCAAATGAATGGTTTATTGACTCAGCAGCGTCAAAGCACATGACAGGCAACAAAAGTATTTTAGATAACTATGTTCAGTACCAAGAACCGAAGAGTATTTACCTGGGCGACAGCACAGTAATTCTTGCATATGGCGAAGGAAAAGTCGTACTCCCAACAGTAAACAGTACCCGTGAAATTGTTCTTGACCTGCATCAAGTGTTGTTTGCACCAAAACTGACCAAGAACTTACTTTCACTGCCTGCAATGGCATTGATGGGAGCAGAAATATACTTCGTCAGGGATAAATGTTTGGTACGGAGGAATAGCCAAGAATTTGTTATTGAAAGTCTATTGCGTGACAAGCTATACACAGTCAACTCTACCGAGTACGCTCAAGTTTCAACAGCAAGCAGTGCACCATCTCCTGCACTTTGGCATCTTCGGTTGGGTCATCTCAATTATACCTATATGAATCAGTTAATGAAAAAGGAAATGGTTGATGGGCTGAACTGTGATATTGATACCCAATCTCACGAAGAGTGTGAAGCATGTATTCTGGGAAAAATGCAGAAGAAGCTCTTCCCAAAACAGACCCAACACAGGGCAAGCAAACCATACGAAATTGTACACAGAGATGTGTGTGGCCCCATGCAAGTGAAATAAAAAAGGCGGCAGTAAATGTATGCTAACATTCACGGATGACTTCTCACGATACACCACTGCTTACTTCATTAAATCCAAGAGTGAAGTGCTTTCAAAATTTATGGAATATGTAAATTCTGTTGAGAAACATACTGGTCATCAGATTATGAAACTGAACATTCTCGCAGAGAAAAATGTTAAAATCCTCAGAGGTGACAATGGGGGAGAGTACACTTCCGACAAGTTCACTAAATTCTGTGCAGACAAGGGAATCTTGCGCGAGTTCACTGTTCCATACTGTCCACAGCAAAATGGTGTCGCTGAACGATTGAATCGTACAATAATGGAGGGAGCAAGATCGATGCTCTACCAAGCCAAATTACCGCTGGACTTTTGGGCAGAAGCCTGCAGCACAGCAGTTTACCTTAACAATGGAAGTTTAATCATCAAGTGGGAGTGTTAGAGGTACATATGATAATTTATGCTGCTCATGAATTATCTATAACACGTGATCTACCGTTTATGTATTAGTTCTGTTCGGGTCTATCCCCGTTTTGCTTCATGTTCCTTTATTTCGCACTTTGTAACTTACCTAAGAATAAATCAAGTCTTTTAACAAACGGCAAATCAAAATATAGGAAAATATTACAATGAGAATCCAGAGTGGACACATGTACTCGTAAACTGCCAATTGCGCGGGAAAAACACGACCGACGATGACACGGTTGGTTTTATAATTCAGTGATCTGATTAGTTGAGAGACTGGGGTTCGAGCAAAAGCAAAGCGATCTTGAATTGCTATCAACGCTCAAATGAAAATGGCTTCATCTCATGAAGCAACAATAGCAAGTAGCAAAAAATGGCCATTTCATCACTCCTCCATGTAGTGAAACACATTCTCAATTCTAAGTCTTACAGGTTGACGGTCATCTGTTTACTTAGTAAACTCAGTGATTATGCCAGGGGTAAAAAGGAACTTCTAAGAAGCAAAGTGTCAATTAACTCAAACTCGAATGTCTTTTTTTAAAAAATCCTCACCACCTGTTTAGTTGCGACCCAATGTGATAAGAACAAGAGTAAGAAATGGTAAGACTAATACGAAAACTTGGGCTGGTCTCTCATATACCGGGTTCTGAAATAACTAATAATTAACAGATGGTTGTACCAGAAGGGTAAAGCGAATGGGTACAGAGGCTTAGTGAACAGTGAGCTCAGAGGACCAGAGGAACGGTGGGCACAGCGGACCAGTGAGTACAGAGGACCAGAGGAACAGTAGGAACAGTGAAACAGTGGTTACAAATGACCAGTGGAACAGTAGGTACAGAAGACCAGAGGAACAGTGGGCACAGAGGACCAATGGAACAGTGGGCACAGTGGGCACAGAGGACCAGTGGAACAGTGTGTACAAAGGACCAGCGGAACAGTGGGTACAATGGACCAGAGGAACAGTGGGTACAGAGGACCAGGGGAATAGTGGGCACAGAGGACTAGTGGAGCAGTGGGCACGGTGGGCTCTGAGGACCAGTGGAACAGTGGGTACAAAGGACCAGGGGAACAGTGGGTACAGAGGACCAGTGGGATCAGAGGACCAGAGGAACAGTGAGACCAGAGGAAAAGTGGGAACAGAGGACCGGAGGGTACAGAGGACCAGAGGAACAGCGGGAGCAGTGGGAACAGAGAAAAGGTGAGCACAGAGGACCAGAGGAACAGTGGGAACAGAGGAACAGAGGAACAGAGGACTAGTGGGTACAGAGGACCAGAGGAACAGTGGGTACAGAAGACCAGACGAAAAGTGAGTACAGAGGACCAGAGGAACAGTGGATAAAGAAGACCAGAGGAAAGTGAGTACAGAGGACCAGAGGAAGTTTGGGTGCAAAGGAATGGGAGAACAGTGGGGAACATGTGAAAAAACGATCGGAAGGAAGCCCCGATTACTAAGTTGCGAACATTGATATATTTAGTCATTTGCCATGTTGTGGTTTAAGTTTTATTTTGTTAGCACGGTAAATTGTAAGAGCTATTCTCAGGTTAAATAAATTTTAACTAATATTTATCCATTCATGTTTGAGTACACTATAGTCCCATATAAAAATTTAATTAAAGAAATGCGGCTAACATAACTACTTTAAAAACTTCTTCTCAAGTTTAATGAAAAAATTATCCAGAACTTGTAATATATTATAGCTTAATATAGCAGCAAGATCTATTCATTTTCGAAATGACTGTTTGTCACATGCTTAACACTAACAAAAATTCAAGAAAGCATGCAAAAATTTATCGCATTCCTCAGCACCTTTAATGGTATTCACATCTTTGAGGAACATAGCTCAATTTGTCTTTTTAGTAACGCCGCCATAATGGCTGCGTCGTGACAGTGAGCTGCAATGGCTCGCTTGATTTGTTCATTTGATTTTTTTCTGAGCAGTAACGGCTTCTGCTCTAGGGTGCAACTGATAGATTTAACAAGATTGTAGTGGGTCAGCAGAGAGGAAGTATTCAATCCCTTCCCGCTTCCAAGGGACAGTTATATAAGTTCTTCCACGACAGAGAACTCCTCCCTCGTCAGTGCACCCTCTCGTGGCGGTTCCCCTTTCATATGGAGGTAGGCTTGCGAGGTATACTTTTGCAAGTTTTGAAAATCATACTTTTGCCGTTTACGTGGTGCACCGCACTTAATATTTGCACCTTCGAATTGACGTTGTCCGAATGGATTTGAACCGCGGCATGTGCAACTTCTGGAGCAACTTACTCGAGCTTTGAGACACTTGCACCTTCTCGAGTATAAACCAATAATGTTATTGCAAATATTTTCTACTGACCCTTGGCCTTTCCTGCTGACTCCACAGGAGCAAACCACCCTAGCTCATTTTTCTTCCTTCTTTATTTCTTCGCCTATCTTTTCTTCTGGCTCTGAGAGATAATTTTCTCGACAGACGTAGTCGTAGTGCCCACAACCAGCAGCATTAAATGATATAAACAAGGAAGGCAAATCATGTAACTGTTGATGTGGCAGTATAGGAATAGTTGGGAAGTTTTCCAGAGATGAAAAGATCACAATTGGCATTTT